ATCATTGTGATAAACAGCCACTGCTACATAGCTCTTTGAGATTTGTGAGGATTTCAGAGCATCCGTGAAATCCTGGTGGAAAAAATGCAATGTCAAATAATATACAGAGAGCATGAGAGAGGATGTCATAGTTTAGATGCACTTTATTTCCTAGATAATTAATACATAAGTAAATTCTATACCTAACATGCACAGTGCACGGATCACTAAAAACACAAATGCTTTCAAAATAGTTTTCACTATTAAACGTATCATTAAAAGAACACTATAACGTTAAAGGGACAGACAACTGATTGTGTCAATATTTAGAATCAATAACCCGCAGAAAAACATGCATGTATTATTTCTGCATGTTTTTGTCATAGGTTATATGGGAAAACAGCTTTCAAAAGTTGCAGACATGGTGTCTGCAGCCTTTATAAACCCTCCCTTCTTTACCAAACACAGGTTTTCAGTCTTTGCCGGGGAATTGACCAATTTACGATGGTGTTACTAGTGAGCAGGTGGTTGCAAATTACCACTGCTTCTCAATGAGCTGTGCTATAGCTGCACTGCTAAGCTGTACTCCCCCTGATCTCAGTGTGCCTGCCATTATTGTTAACTCTAGGGAGCTGTTTAACAGCCAAGGAGGCATTCCAGCACCTCGTTTTAAAGTGCCAATTTTTATTGAAAAAGTAACTTTTGTAAAATATGGCACGTGTGTAGCAATAGCCATGCTCTGAGAGTCTGATGCTTCTGATAGAAACTAATGTTTCTCTATAAAAAGCATTAGCAACATTCAGCATTATCATGCTTTAGTGCGGCACATGAGAAGTGCCTCAGTCAGCCATGAGAGGTGTATTCTGTGACAAATGTAAACTCTCAGAGAGAGTAATATTTAAAGGGATACTCTGAGCACCAAAACAACTTCAGCTTAATGAAGTAGTTTTGGTGTATAGGCCTTGCCCCTGCTGTGGCATTGCTCAGTTCTCTGCCATTTACAAATTAAATCACTTTTCTTATATAGCCCTAGCAACACTTCACCTGGCTGAGACATATACATATCCTGAAAAATTGCCTACATTTGTAGGCTTCGATTATTGCACAGTGTGTTTAATTTCAAATGTCTTATTTCCTGTTCTCTTGATAACCTGATAGAGCCTGCACTTTCTTTTTCCCATGGAGGCTGTATGACTCACAGCCAGGGGAGGTGTGGCTAGGCCTGTATAAACAGAAATAAAAGTGTCCCAAATTGAACAGTGAGACTGCATGGGGATTATCTATACACCTGAACTGCTTAATTAGGCTCTTGGTGTTAGAGTGTTCCTTTAACATTTCCAAAGAAAAGGAACAGGGAGTGCTGTATGAACCAAACACCACATTTAGATGCAGTGCTTTTGGTGCTCAGTGTCCTTTTAAAGTTGCTTTGTCACTCCCCGTTCCAAAATTAGTATGTTTATAAAATGCTCACTTTGACTGTGTTGGTATTTTCCTGAGATTCCAACTCAATCAAAAGATATACTGATACAAATCAGAGACTTCTTGTGTTAGTATTTTTCGTATTCTTGACAAGCTTGACAAAAGAAAGAGTTACCTTTTTTCAAGCTTGTCATTTTCCGCAGCTGTCACCATTGACGGCAGTAGAGAATAAAACTCTGTCAATACAGGACCTTTGGGGATCCTCTATAGACCTCGGTGCTGTATGACTGAGAGTACAGCACTGAGGAAAGATACGGCACTGAGGAAAGATACAGGAGAGTACAGCACTGAGGAATGATAAGGCACTGAGGAAAGTTACGGCACTGAAGAAAGATACAGGAGAGTACAGGCATACCCCGCTTTGCGGACACTCGCTACTACGGACATTCCCGCGCTGCGCAGCTGCACTATTGCAATTAAGAACATTTCCTGCGCTGCGCAGCTGCAGTGCCAAACAGGCAGAGCTGATACACAGAGTTCCCGCCAGTCCCACACCCTGGAGTTGCCACCGCGATCAGAGTTGCCTGCCAGAGTTGCCATCCATCTAAAAACCTGCATAAAGGTGAGTACTGTATACAGTACTGAGCAAATTTCTTGCTCCCCAAAATGTAAGTAGGCTACTGTTTCCTTTGTTTACACCCTGTGCTTCACCATCTGCTCTATTCTCCTTTTATTCCATATATTCATGGGACAATATCCTGCCATACTGGTGAGACCTTTGGAGGACGAGGATTACACTGCTCACAAATGCATTTTTGAGGGGGGTTTAGCTCATTAATACATGAGTTGCCACTTATTAGCAGACTTTATATCTGTCATTTTAACATTTTTATATTGCCCTAAATGTTTTGTTTTGTCTTTTATGTTTTTATGCTCATATAAGCTACAGTATGGAGCCATTGAAGAAGACCTTTGTCCTATTCATTGATGTATATTGGTATACTGTACTTACACTCTATCCTATCCTGATCCTAATCATTCTTTGTCCTTCTCTCTCTACTGTACAGAAAAGAAAGCTGAATTTCTTCTACAGTGCATAGCATAGTGTTTTATCCATTACTTACTTTTTTTTTAATTTTAATTATTTTACCTCTCCAAATTTGTTCCTGTTGCTTTAACAACAGCCTCTGACCCCCCCCACCCACTACAGCGTCTGACACCCCTCCACAGCCCCAGCCTCTGACCCCCCCCACTACAGCCCATGGTCCCCCCACTGCAGCCCCTGACACCCCTCTACAGCCCCAGTCCCTGATCCCCCACTACAGCCCCTGACCCCCACTACAGCCCATGCTCCCTCCACAGCCCCTGTCCCCCCACAAAGCCCCTGACCCCCACAAAGCCCCCCCCCCACAAAGCCCCGTCCCCCACAAAGCCCCTGACCCTCCCCCACTCACAGCCCCTGACCACCCCATTACAGCCCATGCCCCCCACTACAGCCCCTGACCACCCCCACTACAGACCCTGACCCCCTGCTCTACAGTCCCTGACCACGCTCTGCTACAGCCCTGGACCACTCTCACAACCTCCCGTGACCCCTCATTACAGTCCCTGGCCCTGAATATAAACCTAATAATTTAGGAAATAATTTTGATACACAGCCACCTGGAGTTGGCACCTGTGAAGAGGCAAAGTTCCCGTCCGGATTTGCCGCCAGCCAGCCCAGAGTTGCCGTCTGTCCGCTGACCCAGAGTTGCTGTCCGTCCACCCAAAAACCTGCCTAAATGTAAGTGGATTACTCTACATCACAGTTACACCAAAGCCACAATCTTAATTAAGGCACGGCAACAACCTAATTAATATAACCAACACTGAAAATATAACATTCCTAATCAGCCCACTAATTATGTATTACACCCCACAGATAATTTCCCAAAATATTGATGTGAGTAATAAGATGCTTGGCCACCCATGGTTCCTAGTACCACTCCATCACTAGCAGGAACAAAACTGAAAGAGTTACTAACTACCCAACTCCTTGCTAAATATAGGACACATATTTGGTAATATTGCCCCAGGCATTCAGGAGGCTCCTCTGATTACAGCCACAACTACACAGCCAATATACAAACACTGACTGCATCCTCTACAAAAACACACTCTGCATCTACTATTCGCACATAAGTGTGCGCACACACACACACACTCACTCTCTCTCTCTAAATCCAATATGTACACACACACACTGCATCCACTACAGAAACACACACACAATAAATACACTCGATCCACTACACACACACTCTGCATTCTTGTGAAAAAACTTGGGGTGGGCCATGTGGGTGGTCTCAGGGGCCCAGATCACAAGCTGTGTTAAGGGCCCCAAAATTTATGATGGCAGCTCTGCTATTAACATGTAGCTAATTGTTACTAAGTAGTCAGTTTTTGTAAACTATGTAGAGTGGAGCTGAAATATAATCATCCATAATAACATCCTTTGGATGAGAGCAAACACAGAGAGGAATGGGATAAAAGATAAATGTGGGAGGGTATAAGAGTTGAATTTTATGGTTTTGATTACACTCAAATTTATCCGGGTAGGACATATCCTGGATTACCAAAACTGACCCAAAATAGAATCTGAACCTAAAACGTAGAATCTTGATTTTAAGGAAATAGAAGAATAATAAGCAAAATATTGTGTATGTGTCCATTTAAACATGAATTATTTTAAGAGAACATTATTTTATTTTAAGAGAGCATAGCAATGCATGTGTTCACAAATTAGTGTTATGTTAAAAAGGGGTTTTATGTAGCCTATTCTGGTTGCCCTTCTTGGCTGGTGCCAATAGATAATGTATTAGGTATTATGATTGAAACAACACAACATTTGCATAACCAAAGGTATAGATGTGGGTAAGGTTGCATAAAGAAATATCTTGCTACCTGTAAGCATGGATATATTTACAATCAATAAACTAATTTATATTCTAGTTATTGCAAATTAATCATTTTCTCTGTGGCAGATGTTACTTCGTAATGGTTTACAACTAGACCTGGCAGTCAGCCTCTCAATAAAATAAACCGTTCTGGTCATAAATAAAATACACCTGCAATATTGCTGGCACAGTGTAGGCTGAGATAAAATGCAATAATAACCATGAATTAACTGTGGAATCCAGCTGCTGAGCCAGACTTGTTTATGTGTATGAATAATTTGTTCAAAATATTATAGGACACAACATTTGACAATTTATTGGCTGTTCAACTGAGTAATGCACCATAAAGCATTAATTTGCATAATATTTCTAATTGCTGCACCAGAGTGTATTTAAATGCAAATATAAACAGAGCCAGTGTGTGACGGAATGACAGCTTGATAACCTGTTATTAATACCAGAGGAACACTGGCACAATGTTTGTCTCGTGTCCGTGGAGAATGGTGTGTATAGCCAAACAAACAAATAAATAAAGAATGTAACAAAGCCACTGGCAAACAATTTATTTTAAACAATGCATTCTTTTTTTCTATTCATTAACTGGAAATACATTTATAATGTATGTGGTTGTTCTTTTCCAACTGACCATGTAAGAGCAACAGTGTATGACAGGGGTAGGCAACGTTCTAGTAGTACTGTGTCAAAAGATCTTGAAGTCCCTCGGTGTGCCAGTCCTCTTGTTTTAGATTGAGGTATGTATGTTGCTGTATTGTGCTTGTGTTATTTATGGGTGTTGCAGTTGCTTTGTAGCACTATATTTGTGCATATGTGGACTGTTATATTTTATATGTTCTTGATTAGTTTGTGGTATTGTGTATGATACCTTTGATTTTTTATTATTTGTATGATGGGGAGGCTTTTTTCTGCAGCTCTGTATATATTCAAGCAGTATGGGTGGCTTCCGTGGGGTCCAGTGGGTACCAGGCTAGACCAGCTGCAGGTCAAGGGTAGGAATTACAATAGCTGCTGCGTGCTGCTCAACTTCAGTGTGGATTGCCGTTGACAAGTGTTGGGAGGAAGTCCGAGTGCTGCAATACGTAAATCACCTGCATTCACCACTCGGTTTGCACTAGCTCTAGCAGATATCTGAAGTCCTACTGGCACTCCTGACAGGCCAGAGCTTGTTTGTCTCTGGCAGTTTCGAGTGCACTTCAAATTAAAGGGGGTGCTTGTTATGATATATACAATTTACATTTTAATGGAGATTAAAATTGCTAACAAATTTCTAGATTTCTTTAACAACAGAGGTTAAAAAAACAGCCCTTCCCCCCTCTTCTCAGCAGTTCAGTCTGTGCCAATCAGCACAAAGATAAGGTTGTGTTCAGCATGTCTGTTATCAGGGAAACCCTCCTCTGGGCATCTCTCCTGCTTGAATTCAGCCTAATCAAAAGCAATATCCGTAAGGGGAAGTAGAAAGAAAAGGCAGGGCTCTGTGTGAAAGCTACACCAGCAGCAGCACAGAGAAAGGAAAGAAAAAGTCAGAATGATTTATTGTAGGAGCTTTGAAAAAGCAATCTGAGAATGGAGAGCCAGAACAAATAATTTGTATTTACACAAAGCCAAAAAAAATTGTTAGAGAGTTCTAAGTTGCTATTGGAAACAAGTATATACTTGCGAAACAGGGGTTTGCAGGAGAGGTGGATCTTATAGCATGTGAAACATTCACTGAACACATGATTGATGCTCTCAGCAGGGGACAGGACTAATAGAAATAAATAAAAATATGAAATTTAATAATATTAAAGGACCACTATAGGGTCTTTAGGTCCCCCCCACCCTCAGGGTCCCACTCTCGCCGGGCTGAAGGGGTTAAACTCTTACCTTTCTCCAGCGCCGGGGAAATCTCCTCCCTCTTCCGACATCAGCGCTGAATGCGCATGTGCGGCAAGAGCTACGCGCGCATTCAGCCAGTCCATAGGAAAGCATTCTCAATGCTTTCGTATAGACGTCAGCATCTTCTCAGAGTGATTTTCAGTGAGAAGCGCGGAGGCGCCTCTAGCGGCTGTCAATGAGACAGCCACTAGAGGCTGGATTAACCCTAAAATTAAAAAACATCTGGTTCAAATTAAAATATTATTCAGCAGATAAGTAACAAAATTACAAAACAAAGTGATAGATGTTTTAACACTTTCAATGTTATTTAGCTGGCGCGCAACATAATCAGATAAAAGCTGTTTCTTATACGTTTTGCAGATATCCCATTGATGCAGTTTGTCCCATAGAATTCTCTGCACGTTCTCCAACTCAGGTTTTTTTATCTCGTCCTTTTGGGTGTTTTAACATCATTTGTGCACGTAAAACAGAATTTAGCTGAACTATACAGAAAAGCTTTTGTTTAATATGACTGAAAGCATCAAACTGATATTAAGCATTGCGCAAGATATAGGCAGGTAATGTTTTCTTTAACAGTGGTAATGTTGTGCTCGTGCCCCCTTCCATGGTAAGTAGCCAAACTGTTTGACAACTTACCTGGGGTGCAAGGCTAGAAATGGATCCAGAACTCAGGATGGGCACATCCACAATTTATTATGACTGACAGAAAAAAATGCTGTTTATGCACTGTGATTAATTCATACCCAATAAATAAGTATATTCATACTGCAGAGCTCTATAATGCACTCATATGTAAAGCACATTACGGCAGAGATCTATAATAAAAGCGTATCAATTAAACTGTTAATGGCTCCTGACTGATTCCTCTTCTGCAACTGTCATTAGTCTAATACTATCCTTACATTTTTGTGTCATTTTACCCCACTCCCTCTAGCATGTAAGCTCTTTGAGCAGGGCCCTCAACTCCTCTGTTCCTGTGTCCAACTTGTCTGGTTACAACTACGTTTCTTCGTCCACCCATTGTAAAGCGCTGCGGAATTTGTTGATACTATATAAATAACAATAATAATGCGCTCATATGTAAAGCACATTACTGCAGAGCTCTATAATGCGCTCATATGTAAAGCACATTACTGCAGAACTCTAAAGTGCACTCATGTGTACAATACATGGCTACAGAGCTCCATTATGTAATCATAGGTACTGCACATCAGAGCGAAGTTCTATAATACACTCATACGTATTGCACATTACTGCAAAGCTCTAGGATACACTCCTACACAATGCATGCTGCACCACTTTACCAGCATACCAAAACAATTAACTGTTACATCTCCTCTGTCACCCCCCTCTCCATTAACACTTCCAGAACCACTCGTTTCCCTGCAATTAACGCCTTAATTGCCCAAACTAGTTTTCTACAATTCTGCAATTATTTCCTCACTGCCAAACTAGAATCACTCATTTTCTTGCTATTACCCAACATTCCCTGGGAAGTTTTGAAATAAATTAAAAAGTCTCTCCAGTCTGTACAACTGGTAGTCTAAGTGACAATTTCCCTGGATCCAGTAGTGTGCAGGGCTTAATTAAAGGGACACTATAGTCACCCAGACCACTTCAGCTCAATGAAGTGGTCTGGGTGCCAGGTCCCTCAGGTTTTAACCCTTAACATGTAAACATAGCAGTTTACATAGCAGGGTTAATCCAACCTCTAGTGACTGTCTTCTTGACAGCCACTAGAGGCGCATCTGCTATGCTGGATGCGAAATTCGCATCCAACGTGCAGAACGTCCATAGGAAATCATGCACATTCCGCTCCACTCGGGAGCGGACGTCGGCGGGGGAGAAGTCACCAGCACCGAGTGAGCTTGGTGCTGGATTAAGGTAAGTTACTGAAGGGGGTTTAACCCCTTCAACGCCACGGGAGGGGGGAGGGGGGCCCTGAGGGTGGGGGCACCCTTAGGGCACTATAGTGTCAGGAAAACCACTTTGTTTTACTGACACTATAGTGATCCTTTAAACAAAACCAGGTTGTGCCTACCAAACAGTGAACAAACACTAGCAGTAAAAAATTAAAGTAAAACAATTTTCTTCCATCTGCCTTAAATCCTGTGTGTCTTGGGTCTTCCGCAATGGAAACACGTAATAAGGAAAACAAAAAGATGAGACCAGTAGTTTAATATGTTTAAAAATAGTTAATAGACAATAAGATATACAAGTGGCAAATCACTTGATATAGAGTTTCATACAAGCTCTGGTAGTGACAGCATATATTGGAATAACCCCCACTAATATATATCAGTGTTGTCTAAACGACTCCAATAATTATCAGTGAAGAACAAATATATGGAGATGAAAAATAGGGATCTCCAGTAGTGTAATATATGTAATGTAAAGTGGAGGACATGCAGAAATAAATGAAAATACGCTCAAAAATAGAAGCGGTCATCTGTTTTACGCCAGCCCGCACTCTAGCGTGAGGTTTCAAGGGATTCCCCACTTTAGGGAGCTGTTCTATGTTCGGGAAGGTTTTACCGAACATAGACTCACGGGATACCCTGCACTAGTGAACAGGTCTATGTTTGGGGGAATTCCCCCGAACGTAGACCTGCTCTCTTGCACATGCTCACTACTGCATCCTCACTTACCGACCAATTCGTTTCACGACCAGGTAAAGAAATCAAAATAAACCAGAGTAAAAGTATCTACATTCACAACACCTTTCAGGCTCTCAAGTGAGATAAAAGGATGTTTAGCGCAGATAAATTTAAAGCACTAATCAAAATTGGTGATTAAATGATGCCATGGTAACATGACATGTAAAGAGATGATATTTCCATCATAATAAGTATGAATACAGCTACGCAGTACTGTAGATCAAATGAGGTAAGATTAATAAAACAAGACTAAATTGACACTTGACTGCTATGGTCATGTGGCTTAGCTCCCTAATGCGCTCAGGAAATGAGCCCAACCTGAGTGGCAGGGCTTAGCTCACTGTAGCTAACAGAAGATTGTAAATTTTGGCTCCACGGCAGGAGACAACAGACACCCAGCAGACCTCAGGTAAATGAGTCAAACTTTTACAAATAGTTTGGTTACTAATCCTGGGAATGTACCCAGGCACTCCTAGCACCACAAAAAAAAATAGAAGACTGTTATGGTGCTTGGAGTTTGCCTTTGACTGATTATATGCATTTACTTCAAATGTTTTTTGTTAGGATTGTCTTCGTTTATTTATTGTACACTGCTGCGGAATATGATGGAGCTATATAAATCATTGTAATTGTATGCTAAACCTTACCTGAATGCACTACAATTTGAGATTATCTCCCATCCCTATGAAAACGCACACTTATTTAAAGGACACCAATATAACACGTGCATCTGCTAGGAGAGGGGGGTGGGGTGGGGGGGGAAGGGAGTATAACCCTTTAGCTTTAACCATGCTCCCACTTTTCACAAAACAACTTAATAGAATACATACTCAGGATCTGAGCTGCTGAGATCACGCCAATCTACAGCCAATAACGGTTCTATTATCATTTGTACCCTATCTCCTTCGCACAGATTTGAAATTATATACAAATAAGAGTGACTGGCTTTGATGGATTGTGGGTTGCAGTATCAAGGCACCAGCTCACACCAATATTTCTTTGGCTGAGCCGAGAACATACTCCAGATGTTAAAGTGGTCTTGGGAAAAAAAAGGGGCATGGCTAAAAGTACAGAGTTGTGCTGCAGAATGCCAAAGTTATTTATTTAAGAAAGCTAAACTAAAGAGATTTAAACCGCAAATAAACTATAGCTTGGGTGCAAGGCCAAAACTTAGTTTTGAGCAAAACGTGTTTTTACAAGTTTCTAAGGGGGTAAGGTCAAAAAGGAGCATCCAGGCCTTTAGAGGTTCAACTGTAGCCATATTTAAAAAATAAAAAAAACAAAAAAAATAAAAATTGTGCATTGGTTGGCTTTTATCAGTGAGAGCTCATCTGTTGACAGGAAAGTTCTGACAGACACACAAACACGTACACCCTCCTGTTAGCTTACCTTTTGTTGAGGAGGGTGGATTGCTTGTAGTTCTGTTCCTGGGGGTAGTGAGATCTGGAGCAGCTCTTCGTGCTCTGCACAAAGCTGGGAGGAAGGGACAGGCTGCCACTTCCTCCCAGCCTGCAGATACTACAAAGGCCTGATTGTGGTCTTAAAGGGCCACTGTACCCCTGTTCGACAGGTTTCCCACTGCTATCACAGCACCAGGGAAACATTTTGTGGCACCCCTGTGTGCTTGCTGGGGAAAAGTGGCACACTGTTTGGGAACTGCTATTAGGTACACCCTTAATAAAATGCAAGCAGTGTCAGACATTAACTAAATAACCATGTATATACACAGTATTTGTGGTAAAAAAAAAAAAAAGATTATATACATATATACACACACATATATATACACACACACCCCCACACCAAAGAGAATGGACAACCAGACTTGACAAATAAGCATTAAAGTTTATTTCACTTAACTCATTACACGAGTATTCATTATATCCATAGGATTTATATTCATATGGAGTATGGTAAAGACAAAGTGCAGAATTAAATTGTTAAAACACAAAAAGAATAGAACATTTGATCACTTTGCACACAAGGAAAGGAAATATACTGTAAGATATTGCACGTTTTGTAATGTTTCACATTAAAGTGAAGCATTACCAAAGAATATAGGTTAAATAACCTTTCAGGGAACGTCAGGCAAGGCAAGTGTACCAAATTAAAAGATTGACGAAAAAAAAAAAAAAAAAAAAAAACACACAATCCAAACAAGCACATCTGCAAGTAGAATGTTTAAGAGCCAGTATTGGTTGCCATAAACAACTAGTTTGTGTACACTAATTCTAAAAAGCAGAGTCTTCAAAAATACAGTTTCATGGAAGATTTGTAAGAAAATTCACATTTTTAGAAATTAAAAAAAAAGTCAATGTGAAATGCAACATGTGTTCTATAATCATGTCAAGGACAAAATGCTGGTGTTTTCCTTTATTAGGGAATGTGGGGGTCTATTCCTTTTTGGGATATCCCCTTTAATAGATTAACCCCTTAAGGACACATGACATGGGACATGTCAAGATTCCCTTTTATTCCAGAAGTTTGGTCCTTTTAAGAGCTTTCACTATATGCGGACATGAACCTCATTCAATGGATTGACTCCTTGCAAGTCAAGTTAGGATTTACGTCTAAGATTTGTTTCTTGTTAAGAGGAAAAACAAAATCAAGAAAGTTTGAGGAGCGGAAGAAGCCCAATAATAACATTTTGAGCGCGGCATTTGTTCATATTAATTGGGGAAGAAAAAAATAAATAAAAAGTATGTGCATATTTATTTTAAACTGCCTTAGTCGACTGCACTTGAAATGGGACCACATAGCATGTAAAGATTTAATGATACACTACTTGCACAGGCTGAAAGTGCTAAATGCCAATTTTAAATTTTTTTAATGCTTCTGAGAAAGCAAAACAAGTTGGAACTTTTTTGCAGTCGCCATTATTTCCCAAACCAAACGAGAGCAGAGTGCTAAACAAGCACATTCTGTAATGGGACACTAGATTAAATCAGGGGTGTCCAAACTTCGGCCCTCCAGATGTTGCTGAACTACAACTCCCATGATTCTCTGGCTATTTCAAAGAGTCATGGGAGTTGTAGTTCAGCAACATCTGGAGTTGCTGTAAGCACTATAACCATGTAAATCGCATTGAGTTTGTTATGGTGCCTGACACTGTTCCTCCATTCAGGGTCAAACCATTCTGAGCAGTTTAACATTGAAGGAACAGGTTTTATCCTCCCGTAGCTGAATGGGGTTTTGGACAAGACAGATTACACACTTATTACCATACCTGCAGTGGCACTGTGATAGGCTGATCGCAGTCTGCTGGCACACTTCTAAGCAGCAATAGGAGTCTGTGATTGGCTAATTATTATTCAGTCCAGGCAGCACAGAGGTGATACGTTGCTATGATTATTGTTAAGCATTAAAATATAAAAAAAAAAAAAAAAAAAAAAAAAAAAAAAAAAAAAAAAAAAAAAAAAACCTGTTCCATGCTGATTGGAAAGGCAGAGCCAGAGGAATCCAGACACTATAACCAGAAAAGACAGTTATGGTGCCTACGGTGTCATTCTAAAATGGGAATCACAGAGAAGGGAAGACAAAATAAGGCCAGATTGGAGAAATACTTCAATTTTGGGTTTAAAGTTGGTCATTTCCCATATCAATTTTCCACTATTCTAGGTGTACGAACACAATGCCATAGGACTAAGCATGTTAGGCATTTCTGATGTGTTAGGAATGTCTGGAAAGAGCAAGACAAACACTCATTCGGTTGACTTTAGAAAGTTCTGAAAACTCAAAAAAGGACTGTTAGGTGAACAGCTTTTACAACAAGGAAGAAAATACACATGTAAATTGAATTACATTTGCATAGATTACTATAAAACAGATCCTTAAAACACAAGAATATGTTTAGTTATTGCCCATTTCCTCATGCAAGAAAAGATTACGAAAACCGATTCTGGAACACATAACTTTTAGGTTTGAGTTGTAGACTTCCCCAATGCAACTGAGACATTTGTACATATTTTCAAATAAATAGCCACTAGGAAAACATTTAGCACCCTACTAATGTTGATTTCAGTCTTCCATGGTGAGTTGTTAATTGTAAACACAAACGGATTGCTGAAAATTGCTTTATACTCTGCTACCACTCTCCAGTACTTCTGAAGTCTAGAATAAAAGCTTAATAGCAAACTGTTCATTAGAGCGCAACTTTGTTACCTATTACTTGTTTTAGTACACAAACAGCATTTATTGTCCTGAGCAATCTGTGTAGGTAGTAACCATGTTTCCTCTACGCTGAGTGACAGTTCTACAATGTTTGCTGGACCCACTAAACACATTTTCTGCTCTTGCGTTGTGTCGCTGAGCATTATCAAAGCTGCCAAAAGTAAACATTTTCTCCATATCTTCAAACATATCATTAAACAGTCCTCCTCCAAAGGAAAAGTCTTCAAAGTGACGTCTGTGTCTATTATGAGATTCCTGTTGGCTCCTAAAGTGGCTGTCAAATTGACTCTTGGATCTAGTGTGCTGACTCTCACCAAAAAAGTCAAAGTCCTTGAAAAGGTCGTCTAAATTGAAATGGAAAGGTTGGTGGAAGTGCTGGTCATTCGAACCCTTTCCAACATTTGCGAAAGCATCATGCCCAAACTGGTCATACTCTTTCCGTTTATTTTCATCAGAAAGCGTCTCATACGCTAAAAAAAAATAAATAAAAAAAATACAGTTAGGACAAGACCACCAAATGTAAACATGTATGCTATTTTGTTATGCTTAAACAAAAAAAAACAAAAAATTCTCCCCACACATCGACTGCAATAGGCATCAAGCAAAAATATTTTTTTGCAGGCATCTATATTTTTACATAGCGCTGTACAATGGATATATGCAAGATATATACAGTTTATAAATGTCACTACATTTGTCTTTGAAGCTGCAGTTATGAGATAGTTTTACAGGATTAAGTTTTCTTACCTTCAGCTATTTCCCGAAACTTTGCTTCAGCATCAGGGCTTTTATTTTTATCAGGGTGGTATTTCATTGCAAGTTTATGAAAAGCTTTTTTGATCTGTCGCTCTGAAGCATTTTTTGGAACCCCCAATATTTCATAATAAGTCTTCTTTGCAAGTATTATTTCAGATATCAATAAAACACACACAGCAAATATGAGCACAGACTGTGCTGAAGCCATGACTGAAATACCTGGAAAAAAAAACCCCACAGAAAATCAAGTTAAAATTAAAGGAATGAGAAGAGTTAAGCAGCAGCCACCTTCGACTGCAATAAAGAAATGTTTCTAAGCATGTAAACAGCCACCACCCCCAATATAAAATATATAAAAAACACATTTTAAAAATAAGTAGAAACCAAGCCATGCGAGATGAAGCCCAATCAGTAATATTTTCAGCAGAACGTATATTGGGTGAAAGACTACTTAAATACCATCATTATTACACTAGAGACAATAGAATGTATAAAATTAGCCATTAAGAATGAGGTCTGACAAGACTGATCAGGTAAATGTTGGTAAGCCAGTATCAGCTATGTGAAAGGCCTGCCTCATGCATTCCACACAGGAATGTGCTTAATCAACCTATCATTCCTGTAAGTTTTCTTGTAATTGTAGTATTTATAGTTACATCCCACCTCTCATAATATTGTAAAGCGCTACGGAATCTGTTGGATTATTATTATTATTATTATTATTATTATTATTATATCAAGGGAAGTGCAATATTGATTTATCATTAATACCAGCAGTGCTCTGAAACCAGCATCTCTGGAGAGCTCTCGACATACGGATGATATGCACATTTAACTCCGTTGTGAGCATAAAAATCTTCAATACATACTTTAGATGAACAGCAAGAACAGTTAATGTAAACCTGGCACTACAAATTCACCTAACCCTACAACAGCTCCCAAAGCATTATCTATCTAATAAATCATAAAGATAAATTATATCGAGTTGCTTTGGGAGCTGTAACATTACAGCACCTCACTCCAGTGTCACCAGTCTCAGAGACCCTCTGTGCTGTAACACCCATTCCCTATTGCCACGGCTTGGGGAGACTTCCCCGAGTAGAGCCATCCTCCGCTAGCTTAAGAGGCAAATCAGCGTCAATGCTTCCCATACTGCCCAGCAAGTGAACAAAGTCTGCTGTGGGTGCATAAGAGTGATAGGGAGCAATAGAATTGCATGGGGGATTGTTTTCTAGCTTCCCCATCACAGTCTTTGAAATTAAGACTGTTCTACCATTGAAGGGATACTATGTCACCAAAACAACCTTAGCTAAATGAAACAGTTTTGGTATATAGATCGTGCCCCTGCAGTTACACTGCTCAATTCTCTGCCATTTAAGAGTTAAATCACCTGGTTTATGCAGCCCTGCAGCCTATCTAAAAAAAAAAAGAAAAAAATAGTTGCCAGTGATAGCACTCCAAGACTATAAGTAAAATATTCCTTTTATTACCTCCACTAAACCAGTACAGGCAACGTTCCAGCTTGATCCCCTCAAGCTTTCGTCAGGACAAAAAGGGGTGAGCGCTTTCCTTCTACTGGCAGAGATATCACTTGGCACCTGGCAGGCAGAGCAAAGTAGCGGTGTGGGACCATCTCCCCCTTAAACTATTAATCTACCAAATTAATTTAAGTTTAGAGGATAATCCTAAAAGTTTATTCTAACAAACCACAAAAAGGACTTGATTAATGCAGCAGAGCATTAAAACAAAAGAAATCACATCAGCTTACAGCACTTTGCCAAAATCTCCATTTACATATGTAAAGCACTTCTTAAAGCCCTCGTACGTTTAGTGCTTATGTTTTACCATTATGCTTGGTCACTGTAGTGCTTATTATACGATTAGTGGTTATGTTTTACCATTATGCTTTGTCACTGTGATGCAAGCACAAGGGACGGAAACAATACTTTGTATGAATCAACAAATATCCTTTGTTTATTCAGTGTGTGCTGCATTTAAAAACCACAACTGGACTTAAGTACCAACTTTCCTGGTCACAATCCTTAAGCATTCAACTGATGAGTCAAAGATTTCACCTTTGATAAGTAACTGATCTCAACCTGCAAATGGAGTTAAAAAAAAAAAAAAGTTTATATGAAATACTCATTGACTGTTGGAATCTCACAGAAATTCCAGTCAAAACATACCAAGACAAAGTAGGGACTTTGTCTCAGTATTTTACCTACAAATTACACTTTGGGACTGTGGTCAGAGCTACTGCCATCAAGACATGACAATCCCCCAGTGAATACTTCAGAGAAGTTGCTCTATGGAGGATTCTGCAGGATCCTTCATAGACCGCAACGTCTTACATTCCAGAATGAAAAAACCCAACACCTCAAAACACACACATTTTGTCAGGTAGGTGACATCTTACATATACAGCACAAGCCAATAGGCAGATGCAATATATTTATACACATTAGCCGCCTGTAATGTGTTTGTCTTACTGTTCCCACAATGACAAGCTACTTTTAATATTAAACCTCATCTACAAGCCATTCAATATAAGCAGAACTGTGGAGATTTGACAAAAGCATTACAAAGTTTATGCTCAAATAAGGTTATTTATGTTGCAATAATTTTAATTTGGAAAAATAGCATGTGACTTAAAAAGCAACAAAAACAACCCAAAGGATAATTATATGATCGTCCAAGAAATATAGCCACTACAGTTCAATTGTGCTATGAGTTTGAGCACAGTCTCCTGATTTGTCCAACCTTGAACAGCCTGTCAATGTTCAAGGTTGGAGGGATGCCATTGCAGTTGATAATGTAAAAGCTACACTTCTGCATAATCACACTAGGAAGTAGAAAGACTAGATGAGTGATGCAGAGAAACCTTGTTTCTTTTGTCCAACATCTAAACGGTTTCACAAAAAAACAGGGGATGGTGCCCACAGACTAAAGCCACCATAACCACTACAGTGAGCTGTTGTGGTTACTGAAACAAAGTTAAAATGTGGAAGGCTACACCTCTTTACGCAAAGATTAACCCCTTAAGGACACATGACGGAAATATTCCGTCATGATTCCCTTTTATTCCAGAAGTTGTGTCCTTAAGGGGTTGAGTTCTCCCCTTCTGTTAATCATTTTATAAGCTCTGACCTTTCCCTCTGGTAGTCTGCATATAATAGGCATACAGAGATTAAACAATATTTCTATTTCTCCTACTCATTTGCAAAGTGTGCCATAAATGTACATGACTTAACTGGTGAAGGCAATGGCTACATATGTAATACAAGTTTAACCCCTTAAGGACACATGACATGTCATGATTCCCTTGTATTCCAGAAGTTTGGTCCTTAAGGGGTTAAAGGGAAACTATAGGAGCCCAGACCAGTTAAAAAAAAAACTAAAAAAAAAAAAAAACAGAAGAAAGCTAGACAGTACTTTTTCCACCAGTTTATTACTTCTACTTTCCCATATATCTTACATAAGGTCACAAGCTCCAAAATGCTATATATTTTTTCTTCCAGGGAATACAAATTGCTTTGATTATAAATACCTGCTAGAATAATAAAGCATCCTCTCAATGCCACAACACCTGTATTCACCTGGGTGACTAGTTGCATCACAGTAACAGATTAGATTACTTTTTTCCCAGCTATATTCCCCTGACGACTTTATGCAAGAGCATGCAATGTCTGGGCTTCCCAGTGAAACCAACAGAGGCATTTAGTATGACGAGTACTTTTACAGGACAGCAGCGAAAAGGTCAACCTAGTAATGTTTTGGGGGCCAAGTTATTTTAGTGAAACAGTTAGAAAACAGGACAGTGGTATAAAACCAAAACAGTTTTCATCTGATTACTCTATTTTTTCCAAACACTTTTCTATAACCGATACTTTTATCCAAAAATCCCTCTATCCCTTTAACTCATATGCAAAAAAATGGTAGAAGGAGTCGTAAGATCTAAAACTAAACACAAGGTTATTCAAAATGAAAATTCAAGGTGAATTTAAAATTTAAGGTCAAAATAGCCAAACTTGGGGAGTGGGGGGGGAGAGAAATCCAAGTCTGCACTCAAACTGCCACTCTTTCTGGGTGGCAGCAATGCTTACAATACACATCAGCCCCAATACATACAATAATAATAAAAAAAAAAAAAGTTAACGTGTACATTATTCCACATCCCTTGGCACCATTAAATTAAAACACTGGAGGGTTTTCTTTAGTATCAATTCAATGGCCTTTCAAGTTTGACTTAGCAGGTGAGCTGACACTTTAACCCCTTAAGGACACATGACGTGTGACATGTCATGATTCCCTTTTATTCCAGAAGTTTGGTCCTTAAGGGGTTAAAGACCACTGGAGTGATATTAAAAAACCCTACAGTTATTTAAAGTGTGTACAAGGATTAGGGATAGTGCTTTCCCATGGATGTATCTGGGCTGGTATTACTGTAGCCCCTGCTGCTGCCCAGGAGTAGTGGGAGTTGGAGCACAGGGCTGATTTTTGTCTGTTGGAGGTAAAAGCAGATTTAAATCAGATTTAAGGCCAGAGCAATCAGCCTGGAGAGTATCTGCAGAGAGAGCTCAGTGTTGATTGCTTTGGCCTGTCACCTTGCTGTCACCATGGAGACCGTTAATAAGATTATGGCCGTATATCGCCCTCAGGGTACAAACACCATCCTCACCCTGGACCCCCTGCCCGGTACTCACCTGCAGCCAGCAGCTTAGTGACCCGCCCGCAGCCAGGACTTTATCTGCTCTCCCTGCTCGGCGGCCCCGCCCACTGCCCCCAGGCCAGCACCCGCGCCACCAGCGCAGCAGCTACACGACACGCTCGGTGATTGGCCGGGGAGGGGGCACGTGACTCCTTTAGGCGCACGTGGAAGGCTGTTGTTCAGCGCGGGGGGTCAACAACGGACGTCACTTCCGCTGACTTGTCCTTAGCCTGGTCGCTGGGGAAATGTGGGGCGGAGCTCGGGACTGACGCGCCTCCCACTCTCAGACTTGGCACGTGCCGCTGGGCGGGGCTTTGCGCTGAGGGCCGTTATTCCCCCCACGTGACCGCTGTCACCTCCTGTCACAAACGTGCGTGTGCTCTGAGGGTACGTAAAAGGACTCTGTGGAGACGCTAGTGCGTCAGACCAGAGTGGAAGCTCACGGCGGACATTTTTAGTCAGGGCATCGCCCACCATTAAACCGAATTAGTGACTCGAGAAAAGCTAACGTCAAATCCTCGCATGCACTCAGAAAGCCCAGTTTTTTTTATATTTCATATCTATACGATATTATCTACACTTTTTTTCCCCCCCTGTAATAAACCGTTTTGCCCGAATGTAAAATGGCCGCCCCGGCCTCCAGTGAAGGGGGACAGGCAGCTCCCAGCTGGCAGGTGTAGTTGCCAGGATGGGAGCGCGAGGCCCGGATGCGGAAAGCCTGGGTGGTGCTGGGTCGGTTGCCCGTGGTTACCACGCAGCGTGTCCGTGCTGGGGGGCTCCGCGTGCCGGGCGCCATGACAAGATACTGTGCGGCCCCAGACTGCAAGAACCGGGGGGGGCAGGCGGCAGCGGCAGGGAAGCAGCAGAGAGTCTCCTTCTACCCGTGAGTTAGCTGTGCCAGGCTGTGTGCCAGGGGCCAGCCACTGGAACCATACTTACCAAGCGCTCCGATTTAGGAAGGACAATCCTTATTACTGGCCTGGGTCACGCTTTACTGGGAGCTGCAGATTGTTATTTGTGTGTCTGATGGTTCAAGTGAAGTAAAACCACGTGCATGCGCCTTTAACAGAATGTGTTTAAAAACCTGTGTAAATTACATCATTATCTATTAAAGCAACACTCTAGGCACCATAACAACTTCTGTGAAATGAACTTTGTCAAATTAGGTTATGGTGTCGGGGGTTTCTGGCGCTTCCTAATCTTTTAGGGGTTAAAGGACCACTATAGTGCCCTGAGTGTGCCCCCACCCTCAGGGACCCCCTCCCGCCGGGCTGGATGGCGAGAAAATGGGTTAAACTTACCTTTATTCCAGCGCCGGGCGGGGAGCTCTCCTCGGCAAGAGCTGCGCGCGCATTCAGCCAGTCTCATAGGAAAGCATTTATAATGCTTTCCTATGGACGCTGGCGTCTTCTCACTGTGATTTTCAGTGTTGCCCAAACCAGTCAATGAGACAGCCACTAGAGGATTTAGAGGCTGGATTAACCCATTTATAAACATAGCAGTTTCTCGGAAACTGCTATGTTTATATAAAAAAAAAAAAAAAGGGGGGTTAATCTTAGAGGGACCAGGCACCCAGACCACTTCATTAAGCTGAAGTGGTCTGGGTGCCTAGCGTGGTCCTCTAAACAGTTTTTGAAAGGTATGGCTCCTGAAAGGTAAGCGAGTGCCAGGTTTAAACCCCAAAGACCGGTCCGTAGCGCCATTTCTAGCTGTCCTCCTTACATACCTGCTTTCAGAAATTCTTCTAAAGTAAGTCTTTGAGTTCCGCAATGTAGGGGCGCAGCTGGTTGGCTTTGCTGAAGCTTCCCACTCATTATAAGAGCTTAAAAAAAAGCCCCATTCCTTTCTCAAACCATTTTTATGAATGGAGAGCTGATCTCTCCAAGCCAATCAGCAGCACTCCTGCCCAGCGGCAATCCAAGACTTCCTTTAGAAGGATTTCTGAATGTGGATGGTGCACAGAGAGAAACGGTGCTGCAGAGCAACTTTGGGGTTTAACACCTAACCTTCATTTCAATTTAGTTATGGTGTCCTTCGTGTTCCTTTTAAGGTATTTAGTAGCTCCTTTGTTATAGCAGTACATCAGACTCATCTGCAACTGGACCCCTTAAAATCAAAAGGCCGCTCATGATCATTTGAGATAATTGTCATTATGGAGTCAGCTGTCACCAGAGTTACCTCAGCCTTACATCACTCCATATAATGATAGCTTGATATTTTACTTTTTTATTTTCTTCACATTGATAAGTAGTGTCACGTTCAAAAGGCCTATTGCATCATGTTACTCATCTCTGCAAAGAAAATGATGTATTTACTGAGCAATGTAATCTTAAGAATTGCACGTGATATACAGTAAAAATAAAGTCCGCTTAGATCCAGTACTGGGCCACTCTCTGCTGTTGATGAAGACTTTTATCCAAAACAATGTTTCCCATAGAGAACCATTACGCACATACCGCATATGTGCACCAACTGCATCTATCAAATGCTTCTCTATGATATGCATTTCACTCTTCTAAGGTCTCTAGTGGCTGTCTGTCTGATAGCCACTAGAAGCTCAGGATAAGACAAATGTCAAGTTTGCAGTTTCTTTGTAATGTCAATGACATTGCAAGTAAAAAGAGACATGGCCTATGCACCAAACGCAATTCATCATGAAGAAGTGGTTTTGGTGCTTCAAGTGTTCTTTGAAAGTGCCCTTGTCATGCCTAATGTGTCATTCTAAAGAGTTTGTGATTTTATTTTAAGTTTTTTTGCCATGGATATCTTAAATAAATGAAAAATACAATTTGAATTGTCACATTATGATATACACATAGTACGAAACAAAGGTGAAATATTTAGAAGAATTGTGTTACTGGTGATCATGAGGCAAATAAGCTACCTTTTACAAAAGTTTTATTTTTCATTGAGGTCATCTCAGATTTCCCCTCTAACATTTGTAGCAGACATGTAAAATTGCTAATATGCTCTTTTGTATGTTTTGTTGCACAGCATGAACACTCTGAACACTTTCAGTGTTTCTAATAATGAAGTATTGGATTCAATGCTTCATTATCAAAAGTGTCCAGTTGGCTGAACACAGCAATTGCCGCGCATGCCCCTATAGGGCCAAAGTGCTTCTTTATGAGAAGTATTGGATTAACCTGAAACCTCCATTGGGATGATCTAACAGCACAATGAACTGGTGGCGCTGGATAAAGGGTGAGTTTAATGCTATTTACTAGGGATGTGCATGGGCAAAAAGTTTGGTGCAATTTGGGACTTCGGCACTTACCCTAACCCCACTCCTAACCTTACCTTTAACCCAAACCTTCCTGTAACCCTAAACCTACCCCAAACCCTAGAAGATGTGGGTTTAGGGCTAGGGTTAGGAGTAGGGTTAGATTCCTGCCATCATTCCCTTAATTCTCCCTCTCCTGTTTTGACACTTTTCAGAAATACGAAGCACTTCGGCACTTCCGAAATTCGGAAAGCATCCGAATTGCCAAGAATTCGTACGGAAACGAATTGCACATGTCTACTATTTACTAAATTTCACTGGGTGGGCAAAAGGTGGTAACAATCTAATCAGTGGCGTACACACAACCCATGGGTCCCCGGTGCGAAAAACGATCCGTGGGCGCCCCCGCGCTTACTCTGCGCGGTCACCTGCGACCGCGGTATGTACACCAGTGCATGCAGATACACATACACTTAAAGGATCACTACAAACACCCAGATCACATCAGCTCAATTAAGTGGTCTGGGTGCCAGGTCCCTCTAGTTTTAACCCTGCAGCTGAAAATCCAGCCTCTAGTGGCTGTCTCATTGAAAATCACAGTGAGAAGACGTTGAACGTCCATAGGAAAGCATTGAGTAATGCTTTCCTATGGTCGGTTTGAATGTGCCCGCGGCTCTTGCCGCGCATTTGGAGCTGAGAGGCGGATCAGGGCGGAGAGATCCCCGGCGCTAGAGAAAGGTAAGTGCTGAAGACACATACACACTAGCTAACAGACACACACACACACTCTCACGAACAGACGCATACACACTAGCTAACAGACACACACTCAGTGACAGACATACATACACACACTCACTAACAGACACACACAGTAACACATTAACACACACACACACACTCTAATACTAACACACACTCTAACACACACATTTTTTTAAAAAATGTAATCCCCCCAGCCTCCCTACCTTTGGGAGTGCTGAGGGGATTCCCTGGGGTCCAGTGGTGCTGCTGGGCGGCCAGTCCTGCGGGATGGCTGGTGGGCGCGCGAGGGAGCACTCTCCTGCTCTCTGCTCAGCTCCCTCGCACGCCGCATACTGATGCCGGAGCCGGAAGATGACGTCATCTTCCAGCTCCGGTATCAGTGCGAGGGAGCTGAAGAGGGAGCACTCAGAGTGCTCTCGCGTGCCAGCCTGCCTGCCAGGTGATACCAGGGACAACCTCGGGGGGCCCTGAGGTGGCTGGTTCCTGGGCCCCCCAGGAGAAGAGGCTGGCCACAGTGGGTACATACCGGGTAGCAGGTCGGGCGGGCCCCCTGGTGGGCCGGGCCCGGTCGCAGCCGCGACCCCGGTATGTACGCCACTGAATCTAATGAAGCAGAGCAAAAGCTTAACAATTTAAGTAAATATATTTATAATGTTGCACTGCTCCTTTAAGTAAAAGATACTAAACTGGTACCAAGAGTTGCACTGTATATTAAAAGTATTTAGTGCTGATCGTATATTGACAATTTTCTGTTTCATATATTGTATAGGTTTCCACTACATGACAAGGGAAGACTACAGCAATGGTTGTGGAATATGAAACAAAGCAAATGGTATCCTACTAAACACCAGGTGTTATGCAGTGACCATTTTACCGCTGATTGCTTTAACATCAGATGGGGTATTCGATATTTGAAACCCAATGCTGTACCAACTATTTTTCGCTGTGCATCAAGTTTCCAGGTATGCAGTGTTAGTGGGGTTTTTAAAACACAATCAATCCATGAGCAAGTATGGAGACACATCAGACTTGTTAGGACTGTATAATGTTAATCATTAATTACTGATTTTTTTTTTAAGGCTTAATAAATGTTATTTTAACTAGTGTCCTGCCTCCTGCATTTGCAAACCCTAATAATTTTTTTTTTCTTCTTCTTCTGCCATTTGGTTTTTAGACTACTTAACTTGGTGATCCAAAACAATCTCTTTTGGGTGACTTACATGATCTGCAAGGGAGTCAGCTGTCACTGCATGCTTCAGTGACAGACCGCCTGAAGGCTCCGTAACATCCAGATTCATATTACATCTTCCCAGTGCTGTAACATCTTCCCAGTGCTCAGGAGAGGACGATGAGCACTGAAGCTGTTTCTGCCACTGCGGTTTGCAGACACAGCTTTTTCATAGGGAGTGAACCCTGCATCTTTTGATATCTTTATTTTCATTACCACAAGAATACAGTTAAATGGCAGGAGGAGAAAAAGGAAAATGCACTTATGTCTTTGTCCAACTAGCTAATAGTATGTGAAAATGGAACTGTGTCTATTTTGGTAATGTGTGATTGGGTGATATGGTATGAGTGTTGTGAAATAGGTAGGTGAGCAAGTAAGTTTAAGGTGTGTTTTCGCTTTGGCTCCTATATTATAAGAATAATTTACTGGGCCTTTTCAGCATCAGTAATGTAGTCAACTGCTTTTTACATTTATTTAACAGTCTTTTTGTTTTATATATGTAACTCTCTATTTTTGTAGTGCAATATAGTTAAGTTTTTTAAACTTGTCTTTTCAACTTGGATATGATTTCATTGTAGCAGTAAGAACACCAACATGTACATGTGTATTAATGCTTAAATACATTTTCAGGGGGTATAAAAATGAAATAAAGTCAATGAAACTCCTGCTCACTTTTAATAGCACAAAAAACACTTTTATTTATTTGTAAATATGAGAGTGTGTGGCACAATATATTCCATCAGTATTTTATTATTAAATACACATGTTACCATTGTATGAGAGGATTCACTTTCATGTGCCCACCAGACTGTGTACATTATACATGTCTTGCCCTCCACTGTGAACAAAAGCCCCCCTGTTCTTCTTGCAGAATTTACAAGTGGAATCCTTTTGTCATGTTTGAAAGCGGTATGCAGGTTGAGAAAACTCCATGCAGTTGTCAGAGTGATGAAGGGGACATTCTAATGCAGTGTTGCCCAAACCAGTCCTCAAGACCCCCCAATAGTCCAGGTTTGGATAGTATCTCCATTGGAATATAACAGGGAAATAAATACATCTTGGATTGTTGGTGAGCCATGATTACTGGTTGGGGAACCACTGTTCTAGTGTGTTGTGCACCTCTTTAGTTAAAGGGACACTATACACTAGGTTCTGGTGACTATTTACCAGAACAACTGCAGTTTAATAAAGTGTTTCTTGTGTCTATAGCATGTCTCTGCAAGCATTTTAATGCACACACTGACTTGTCAGGAAAAAAGCAGTGCTTGCATTACTGCCTAGTAACACCTCTAGTGATAGGCAGGCAGCCAGCCACTAGAGGTGCTTTCTGGGTCAGTATTCTCTGGAGACCCTGAATCCCAACATTGAGCTGCATTGATTTAATGTATCTCTATAAGGAAATGCTGATTGTGACAGCACAGTGTTTTTTGCTCTGCATTTCCTATGGAAAGCATTGGATTGGCTGACATCATCAAGTTGGGGCCAATCGCAGCAAGACTGCTGCAGCATGGGAGAAAAGGTGAGTGTAAACTCCTTTTTCTCTACTCTGATGGGGGACAGTGTTCTAGATATAGTGTCAGGGATACATGTTCGTGTTCCTTTAATATTAAAGGAATACTATAGGGTCAGGAGCACAAACATTTATTCCTGACCCTATAGTGCTAAACCCACCATTTGGGTGGCTTGCCCCTTAAAAGCAATTAAAAGTCACCTTATTTCCAGCGCTGGACGGGTTTACCAGCACTGGCCCCACCCCTTTGGTGACCTCTTCAGAATTGCTAATTTTTAGTCAAACCTCTGATTTCCTATGGGGAAAGCATTGGATTGTCTAAAATCGGCAAGGGGACGGGGGAACATTCAGCATCCGCATGCAGTGTGTGGAGACGCTGAATGGCAGTGCTGCCTACTGTGCAGCACTGCCCCAGGAAGGACCTCCAGCGGCCACTTGGAGGTGTCCCTAGGGGCAATGTAAACATTGCCTTTTCTCTCAAAAGGCAGTGTTTGCATTAAAATGCCTGAAGGCAATGATTATACTCACCAGAACTACATTAAAGACCACTATAGTGCCCTGAGGGTGCCCCCACCCTCAGGGTCCCCCTCCCTCCGGGCTCTAGGGGGTGGAAGGGGTTAAACTTACCTCTTTCTCCAGCGCCGGGTGGGGAACTCTCCTCCCTCTTCTTCCGTCACCGGCTGAATGCACATGCGCGGCAAGAGCCGCACGCGCATTCAGCCAGTCCATAGGAAAGCATTAGCAATGCTTTCCTATGGACGCCGGCGTCTTCTCACTGTGATTTTCACAGTTAAAAGCGCGGAAGCCCTCTAGCAGCTGTCAATGAGACAGCCACTAGAGGCTGGATTAACCCATAGGTAAACATAGCAGTTTCTCTGAAACTGCTGTGTTTACAGAAAAAAGGGTTAATCCTAGCTGGACCTGGCACCCAGACCACTTCATTAAGCTGAAGTGGTCTGGGTGCCTATAGTGGTCCTTTAAGCTATAGTTGTTCTGGTGACTATAGTGTCCCTTTAACGATTCCTTTATCGTATAACTTATATGAAATGCTAATATATGTTAAAAACATTAGTAGAAGTAAATGAAAGGGAACAGGAAAAATAAAGATACATGTGTTCTAAATATTTATAACAGTCAAGTGCCTAGTTACACAAGCATGTATTTACTCTTCCTCATTTTGTTCAAACCAGAGTGAAAATACAAAGGAAGGCAAAGAAGAATGCATGAACACAGTAGAAGACACGTCTTCAGAGATCATTGAGTTTTGTCCGCTAGAAGAAAAATCACTTTTGACTCCTATACTAACATCTGATGAGTCTTGTATTAAGCCACTTCATACAAAGTATATAATTAATAGGGATTCGTTAATGGATCAGTCTAAAGAATTACTTTGCCAAGAGTCAAATAAAGACACCAACATTCCAGTTTCCCAGCAAATCAGTTTGGAGGAACATAACGCCTTCATTAGCACTGTGCCCAGTTTGAATTTGGGGCTGCACACTACTAATATGCATAATTCAACAGGAGAGCAAGATGATGGTGAGACAGAAAACTACAGTGGCTGTCAAACAGATAATTTTAGGGACCAACAAACATCCTTTCAAGAACATGAGGCATTTAAAACTATTGAACTAACTTCACCTAAACAGTCCGTTATTACAATTATTTTGCCAAATGGAAATTTTGAAAAAGAGCCAATTTTCATTGAGTCTTTGATACCTGACGATCATTCGTATACTGATATGCAACAATTTGATTTAGGAAATGCACATGGCTTTGACTCCGATTGTGCTTATGAAGTGTTAGAAAATGAACATTCATACTGCAGACAAGAATTTAACAGGAATCAAATATGGGAAAAGATTACTAAACTAAAATCCAAAATAGCACTCCTTGAAGTTCAGGAACATGCCACATTGTCCCGTTTACAGGTCCTTGAGACTCTCATTAGGCAGTTAAAGCAAGAAAATTTGTTATCTGATGAAAAGTTACAACTAGTTGAGAACTGTTGTAACAACTTTGAAATTGCCATAGTACAATAAAAAGTCACTTCGGTTTTTCTGCATTTATAGTTGTTATTGGGGTTTCTCCGTCAAGTGAAAACTATGGAGAAATAACAGCAGAATTACACATTTGACACCAAAATGGCCAAGATGGAAACAAAGTTGTTAGAGCATTTTTGTCATCTCAGCAAATAGTGTGGAATTGCCTTGTCTGTTCTTCACAAATGCAGGGAGTAACCTCGCAATACCTGCATTTTAACTTTAATTTGCACTAGGGTAGACTTTATAAAATAGTTTGCCTTTTATTTACCAGGATGTTTAAAATGTGCACTGGACAGCATTCCTATAACGTGTATACATTAGCCATTTTAACCCATTAAGGACCAAACTTCTGGAATGAAAGGGAATCATGACATGTCACACATGTCATGTGTCCTTAAGGGGCTAAACAAGCGTCGCTGTTCTAAGGAATTCTTCACTAGAGATTATGCTTGTTTGTTCACATCCATTCAATGGAAACTAGAACATCTATTTCAAGACAATTGAGATTTAAGATGTCTTCCTCAGCCAGATCATCTGTAGCTGGAGATTATTTTAAATGGACACTATAGGTACTAGAACCACTGAAGCTTAATCTAATCGTTCTGGAGAAAATACACTGTCCCTAAAGCCTCTACAGTGTATATGTTCTCTTTTCCTATTAACTGTCACTACAGTTACTTCCTGGGTTCAGTCCTGCAAAGATTGAGGCTCTGATGGACTCTTAAATTTTCTTACAGGGATGCCTTGCCTAACACTATAGTGTTTGTTTAAGAGATACATAACCGTATTGCAGCTGGTTATGTCCATTGAATGTATGTGCTCTTATGACACTGGTGATTTATGTAAGCTTGTGACATAAAAGTGTAGTGCATACACACTGTCTGTAGTACACTGGAAAACTGGAATTTCAGAAGACTCTGTTTTAAAAAATATATATATAGTTTGCCATTCTGAGATATTTTCCTATGCAAATAATATTTTGTAAAATTGCAGGTTTTTATTTTTTTGTGTGTGTGTGTGGCTCAAATTATGGCATAACAACAATCACTGAAACCGCATATTTATGTTCTCTTTTGAGCTTTCTGTACCAAAGAATTGTCTGTATACTTCTGTTAATTAAATAATGTTTAATTCCATGGAGGTAAAAATAGTCCCTGCACTCTTAGATTAAGCATTTAAAAGTAATAAACCCAAGTGACAGCTTTCATTTTCCTATAATCTCGTATACAAATGTGTTTTTTTTTTATTCAAAACTTTGTGCCCAAAATCAGGTGAACGTGTCCTTGGTAAGTGGCACAGACCCTTAAGTTTTGTGAAATTACAGTATGTTATTGTAATTGTTTTTTGTTTTGGCACAAATTGTTCAGATTGTTACGCTGTGCAAATTGTTATATCACTACATATTGTTTGATGTGCTTACTACTGTAATTATAACTTTCTAAGTATGAGCAACACAAATGTCTGTTATTGGTATAACATCGAATCATAACTTTGATTAATATTTTTTATTTTATTTAAAAAAAAATTTTTTATCCCCTTTGGAAATTGTCTTGTTTAGTAAAGGATTCCTCCACTAATTAAAATTGTTTTGTTATTTCATAGTTTGCCGTATGTTTTGTCAACTAAATAAAAGTTGAGCATAAAGCTACATAAAACCAAGGTAATTTTTGTTTTGTCATAAGGGCTGAAGAAAGACCTCTTTGTAGATGCCCCATAATAATCAAAGCAGTTTGTGCAAATGTTAGTTGCTGTAAAGAGTGTTCAGCAACAGGATAGATTAAAATAAATTACACATTTAAAATACAGTTGCATGTGTCCTGTTCAGTGCCTATATTTAGGAGCCTGCACTGTACTCGTAAATCAAACCACTGACTTTCTATGAAGTTAGAACAATGAGAAAGCAGAAAGTAGGAGTCATTTATTTTTGTGTCAAAGAAATGGTTCCCTGGATTTAGAAATACGAATTGAGTAAGTCTCACTGACTATATACACACTTGGTTTGTAATAATCTAATGTCTGTTGAATTAAAAAAACAGCAGATAAGTTGTCTGAATCGCATAGAAAGTATAGGATGTGGATCTACACTGCTCAAAAAAATAAAGGGAACACTTAACACAATGTAACTCCAAGTCAATCACACTTCTGTGAAATCAAACTGTCCACTTAGGAAGCAACACTGAGTGACAATCAATTTCACATGCTGTTGTGCAAATGGGATAGACAACAGGTGGAAATTATAGGCAATTAGCAAGACACCCCCAATAAAGGAGTGGTTCTGCAGGTGGTGACCACAGACCACTTCTCAGTTCCTATGCTTCCTGGCTGATGTTTTGGTCACTTTTGAATGCTGGTGGTGCTTTCACTCTAGTGGTAGCATGAGACAGAGTCTACAACCCACACAAGTGGCTCAGGTAGTGCAGTTAATACAGGATGGCACATCAATGCGAGGTGTGGCAAGAAGGTTTGCTGTGTCTGTCAGCGTAGGTGCTATCAGGAGAAGGCCGTAGGAGGGCAACAACCCATCAGCAGGACCGCTACCTCCGCCTTTGTGCAAGGAGGAACAGGCGGAGCACTGCCACAGCCCTGCAAAATGACCTCCAGCAGGAGGAGATCCCTCAGGAGACCATCTGCCACCTCATCAGGAGCATGCACAGGCGTTGTAGGGAGGTCATAAAGGTTGGATCAGCCTGTAGTGTGTTTTTCCACTTTAATTTTGAGTGTGACTCCAAATCCAGACCTCCATGGGTTGAAAAATTTGATTTCCATTTTTTAATTTTTGTGTGATTTTGTTGTCAGCACATTCAACTGTGTAAAGAACAAAGTATTTCAGAAGAATAATTCATTCAGATCTAGGATGTGTTATTTTTGTGTTCCCTTTATTTTTTTTAGCAATGTATATTAGTTTCCGGAGATAAAGAGCGTGATAAAATGGTCCAGGCTGGTCACCAGGACAGTTTGCAAAGTATTTAGGATATTTGTAGCCCACACACTTGGCTAGCATATGATACTGCCTATTGTGCCCTATTGCATCATGGGATGCTGTGTAGTGTGCACATAATACATGTGATAGGGTTGTGTGAAGGGCTGATCTGAGGTTTTATTCTTCATAACTTGACCAACTTCTGTTCTATACCCTCACAAAATTGCCAATAATACCATCTCTAATTATTATGTTGTTCCAGCTGAAATCTCGAAGTCCTAGTAAGTTCAGTGTTTGACGGTGGCCTACTACATAGAATCTGTATGACTGACATATAAAGGAGCAATATTGTAAGCTCAGCAGGAGTTTAGATCCCAATGACATTGTCAAGAAATATCTACTGTACCCAATGAATAAAGAAGAAACATGACAATTTCAATTATAGTTCAATCTTTATACCTAGTGAGAGTATTGTTTTTTGTTTTTTTACTATGAATATTTTCCAGACATATATATATACACAGTCTAATATGATACATTAACCGTAGGGGAATGCCACATTGGGATCTATCCACCACACAATTACAGCTTTTCAAATGACCATACCGTAGCCAGGAGAATATATGGGAACATTGGAAATAAGGAAATGAAAAAAACTGAAGAGTTAAACACTTGGTGGAGTGTTCAGAACACGGTGTCTAGTTGAACATGTTGCAGTGACTACGAATTAAATTTTCTTCCGAATCTGTGCCTGCAATTATTGCCTCAGCCTCTAAAATTTCGAGAGAAAACAGCAAAATACAGCTTGAATGTTACGTAAACAAACTTTTGTTTATAAAGAAAATGGTTCAAACACTCTTTAATTCTGTTAATTTCGAATAAACATATTTGTTTATTCTGCATTGCAGCATTTTTTGACCTCTTATCAGTTTTATTCATTTTATATCTGTTATTTTGTCATTCAGGTTTCACAGTGCGCAAGTTACTTTTTTTTTTCATTGTATGTATTGGGGCTGATATGTACTGTAGCCATTGCTGCTGCCCAGGAGTAGTGTGAGTTTGAGCACATGGCTTTATTTTGTATACTTATATTAAAGTTCAATATTTACATTGCAGTGTCAAATTATAATGCAAGTATGCTTGCACAGGTGACACAGGGGTATGACATCAGGGCCTGATCCTATTTCAACTCGTACCACCCTGGGTTTGATGCCCTTAATTGTTCTAGGTGTGTAAGCATGTTACTTTGCAGTCTTACTGGTTTTTATTTTCTGGTATTTTGACCTTAATTTTTATTTTTCCATTATCTCTGACTCTGCTAGTCAGGACACTGATTTAGATATTTTAATTTTAGCAGATCATTTTGTTTTCAATTAGTATTTCAGGCCTAGGAATTATTAACTTAGTTCTGGTCTTTTCCTATTTCTACTTTAACGGTTAAACCAGCTACTTTAATGTCCTTTAATAACCCCTTAAGGACACATGACGGGATTCCCTTTTATTCCAGAAGTTGTGTCCTTAAGGGGTTTTAACACTCTCACCATGTGTTTTGTTAGTTTATTGACTTAAATCTTGCTGGGGATCCTAACCTATTCTGACTGGTGGCTGATTTCATATTCTCTGGCACTGGATTCCACCTATACAGAGCTCTATAGGGTAAAACTGCTTGTCCGACTACTCCTTTTTTGAGGTGGAAAATGCAAATGAGGAGACAAGCGGAACAGAGGAAATGTGGGGTGGAGATAATAGGAGCGGGAATACTGTTCAAGTAATTACAAATATAAAAAAGAACCCCTTAAAAATAAGGGGTCCTAAGTTAGAGCTCGACCAATAGAGTGAGGGAAGGGAGCACTATCTTTATTAATTCAAGGTGTTCTTATGTAAATTGAGGGTTAGTCCATTTTCTGGAGCTCAGCTGTATTCGTTTCAAGTCAATCCGTGAGTCCCGGATGGTTATCCGGGCTCTTGGCTTGTACTTTCATTTATTTTCTACTTTCCATGTTCAAGTAATTAGTAGTTTTCCAGATAAGAGAAGAGTTGTTTCTGGATTCTTGAGTTAGCTTACTAGTTTCAACATATCAAAATAATGGCATGTGCTTGCGATGCAGATGCACACACCACATCCTGCAAAAGCCAAACCAGAAACTGCACTATTCCATATACAGAGATTTAGGTGCAATGGACCCAGGGGCCATCACCAAGCCCCTAAATATGGTTTGTAGCCAGAGAAGAAAGGTCCAGGCATTCCAAGGCTTTAAATAGGCAAATTTATTGGACCTAAGTGTCCAGAACCAATGTTTAGACCAAAGAAGGTCTTTTTCAAGCAGACGGTATTAACACCTGCTGATCAAACTGTTTTCTTATGGGAAGATCTAAGCAGACTTTATTTCTTTATAGAGCAACACGTTTGGAGAATGATTTTTCAAAGTCTTTGATTTTTACTTTCAAATGTAAATTTAAACAACAGATTTATCATTTAATGTAGGAAATATATAAAAAAAAATTATGAAATAGAAAAGCAATGCTTAACAACAGCTTTATTTTTCCTTCGATTTGATTCAAAGGTTTATTCACTTAGCATTGAATTGTTGTGAATTAAAATCCAAAAAAGCGGATCTGAAAAAATTCTCAGCTATAATCACATCTTGGGTATTTTATCCAGTCTTTCACAATTGGATTCCATTTTGCTGCAGTTTGCAGTTTAGAGAATAAACTTTATTGTAGAATTTACTAGGGAAAATACTAAGCCAAAAATATTACCTCCAGCGCACTTCTATGTTGTGAATGAGTTTACTGCACCGTGATGCCTCAAAGTCACTTATGAGCTCTCTTCATCTACACAGAAAGTCCATGCAAACATATTTGCTATTTTCTCCTGCTTTGCTGTACGCGTTGAGGGGTTAACTATTTAACATGCTGTGCCCAATGAGCCCCACACATCTATTAAATAAAAAAAAAAAAAAAAATTTTTAAAAATAAACTTTTTTTCTCAAAGAGATTAGGACTACCAAAAGATACATATGAGTTAGTTATTTGATTGTGCTAAAGTTTGTTAAGTCTAAGCATGGGCTTGTTTTAGGTTAACAGCAGATGGAGCTCCAATACAACATAATACAAAATGTAAACGTTTTTGAAATTTTTGTATTATTATTATTATTATAGTTATTAATATAGCGCCAACTTATTCCACAGTGATTTACTATATTATAAAGAGGGAAATTTACCAATAAATGAGACAATAACAAAATGTTACAGAAACAATAGTTTATTGAGGACCCTGCTCAAACGTGCATGCTATCTAGAGGTAGCATATTTACACCATAGATAATGCCTGATCTTCATATGATTAGAGCAATTCACATAAATTATCATCAGATGGCAGGATCTCTAGCCCTATGTTGATCGTCTTGCACCATATTTGGTTCCTAGTTCCAGATTTGACGTAGATGCTTTAAGCGTTGCCAAGTGAACACTCTTTGATCATTGTGACTGGCAATCACAGATACATAAAAGTTGCCAAAACCGTCATCAAACTGTTTAACCATCAAATATGATTCAGATAAAGGTTTGGATTTTCCAGTAGAAAAAGTGGCAACTGTCTACAGAGTCCAGCTTAATACAGGTATAAGACATGATACTAACAAAAAAAAAATG